AATGTTGACAAAAATATGGATATCGTAAGAGGAATATGTAGATTACTATAGAGGGGAGCAAGGCCAAAGCAAGCACATGGGGTGCATCCTGAAGCGTCTCAGCTCAGAGTAATTTCAGGATGATTGCATGTTTAGAATGTAACGCCTCCTTCCTTTAGGCTTCCCATGCCTACAGCATTGAGCTGTAAAATGTATTGCATTTGGCATCGTTGTTAAGCACCAGGATAATTATGTCACAAAAAGATGTTTGCTTTGTGAATTCATTTAATTCCCTATCTTTATTAGTGACCTACTCTGAGATATTTTAAGTTATTGTATTGTTCTATTTCCAGACAAATTTTGTGAAACTTATTTTGCCTAAAGCAGGCACACAGACCAGTTGTTAAAAAATAAAATAAGACATAATCTCAAAAATAGGCATTGCTTTTTCCTACTTTATGGCTCTGAAATCTTCCTGACTCTTCCTAGTGTTTGGTACAGCAGCAAGCGCAGGACTGAGCACTTTGTTCCCGTTTGGATTGACTTCACTGCAGTGGTTTTTTGGGTGCCACTTTAGAGCCCATTGTGGAATAAAATTAAAACATTCTTTATGGTACAACAATTCACATGCTGAAAATGGCATTTTTCTTCTCTCCCTGAGTGGCAGTGTGCTCTCCCGCTAAGTTTCCCAGGTAGGTCCCAGGGCTTGGTTTTCCCCCTTCTCCAATGTATCTTTCGGTAATATCTCCAGATTCGTGTTCCCTGAGTGGTAGTGTTCATTCCTGGCTCCTCATGAGCCCAATTCATCCATCACAGGAAAAGCCCGGTGGCTCTGCTCTCCCCTTAAGGCTGCCTTCATCTCTGCTGACTTCTAGGTTTGGTCTAGACCGCATATCTCTTTCCACAGCGTAGATCTTGTGCTCCTCCCACTAAATTACACGTGGGCATGCTGTGAGCTTCTGAAACGACAGAACCAAGTCTCCTTTATATTTCTCCAAGCTCCTTCATTGCCTGCTCACAGAAATAAAAAAGCAATACAAATTAAGTGGGTGTAGACATCATGGCGCTTGGGCACCAACAAACATGTACACACACAAAATAAGTATGTAAACAAATTAGTAAATAAAAAATAAAAGTTTGTTGGACAAGTGAATAAAGTATTGAAATTGGAAAAGCATGCAGCCTGCCCCCTCAGACCTGTGACCCCTTTGTAATACTTTCAGGATCCCTTTAATAAACTTTTCCTGATCCGGGTGGTGGTGGCACACGCCTTTAATCCCAGCACTCGGGAGGCAGAGGCAGGTGAATCTCTGGGAGTTCGAGGCCAGCCTGGTCTACAAGAGCTAGTTCTAGGACAGGCTCTAACGCTACAGAGAAACCTTGTCTCGAAAAACCAAAAAATAAATAAATAAATAAATAAAATAAATAAATAAACTTTTCCTGTTTTCATCGCACCTTTTATAATTCTCTGGTGATGCAAGCATTCACCGTTCATGGTGGCATGGCTGCCCCCTCTTCGCTGGATCCCAGGGTGTGTATTTAGTTCACTGATGTGTCTCAGCAGCGTGCTGGCTGTACTGGGTGAATCAGTGAGTGAACTGGGAGCCCACAGTCAGCTTCTCCCTGCTTCCTGGGTTCCTGCGGTGGTTTTTCAGGTAAGGTTAGGGTGGTGGCAGAAGATAAGGAAGACATATAGAGTCTCCTACTTAACTAGCTGTACACCTCCAAGCAAACTCCTTGACTGCTTTGAAGGTCATTTCCTTCCCTGTTAAAGAACAGCATGAACTAAAATTACAGTGTTGGATTAATATTTAGGCCGAAAAACAAAAGTTAGTGGCCGAAGTTCTCTGATGAGTCCTAACAGATCCGATTTGGTCATGATACCTTCCATTTGTTGTCACCGTGTGTTCTCTGAGAAGTAGGGGTTTGTCATCTTGTTGGTGAGAAGCAGAGGTCCTGCCTGAGACCACTCCCTGGAGCACAGGGCTGCTGGAGAGCAGGTCGGCTGAACACACCCGCTGCATGCTCCGCCTCCCTGGGGGTTGCTGTTGTAGATACTGCTTATTATCTCCTTTGGATGAAGCTTCTAGAGCTTTTCCTTCCTGCCTTCATAAGCCTGAGGAATGCGAAGGGCTGATGAGTGCCCCAGGAGATGTTATTATGAAATAGCCTAGTCCTCCCCAAGCATGAGGTGCAAGGGAGTCTGGGAACCCCACCCCCTTCCCACCCTGCTAATGAACACTACTTCCAGGTCATTCCCACCCTCTAAATGAAGTATTTAAATCTTTGTTTTCTATGTTCAAAGATAAAATATTCTTGCATTAAAACTGTTTCAAAGATCATCATGGTATTGGTTTAGAAGCCAGTTAGCTTATGGTTGGTACAACTGGCTTCATTAATGATAGGAAAAGTACTGAATCTTTTCTTTTTAGAGAGGTCTGCAAATGTCATTTCAAAACATACAATTACATCACTAATACCTCTTAATTATTGCAGTAAAGTTACATAAAAAATGAAGAAGACTGTCTTCCCTATGAAGGAATTAACTTCTGCAGATATTTTCATTGGGAATTTAGAATGACTAACCCAGAGTTAATAGGCTGGATTTTGACGGCATCTGAAAAACATCTTTTACATTTGAAGGAGTGGATTTCCCTTTTGAAATAGTTTGTCATCGTAAAAGGCTAATCAACCCAATTATAAAATGGGGCACTGATCTGAACAGAGAATTCTCAACAGAAGAACTTCAAATGGCCAAAAGACACTTAAGGTCATGCTCAACTTCCTTAGCGATCAGGGAAATGCAAATCAAGACAACTTTAAGATACCACCTTACACCTGTCAGAATGGCTAAAATAAAAACACCAATGATAGCCTTTGCTGGAGAGGTTGTGGAGAAAGGGGTACACTCACCCATTGCTGGTGGGAATGCAAACTTGTGCAACCACTCTGGAAAGCAGTGTTTCGGTTTCTCAGGAAATTCGGGATCAACCTACCCCTGGATCCAGCAATACCACTCTTGGGAATATACCCAAGAGAGGCCCTATCATACAACAAAAGTATATGCTCAACTATGTTCATGGCAGCATTGTTTGTAATAGCCAGAACCTGGAAACAACCTAGATGCCCTTCAATGGAAGAATGGATGAAGAAAGTATGGAATATATACATATTAGAGTATTACTCAGCAGTAAAAAACAAGGACTTCTTGAATTTTGCATACAAATGGATGGAAATAGAAAACACTATCCTGAGTGAGGTAAGCCAGACCCAAAAAGAGGAACATGGGATGTACTCACTCATATTTGGTTTCTAGCCATAAATAAAGGACATTGAGCCTATAATTCATGTTCCTAGAGAAGCTAAATAAGGTGAATCCAAAGACAAACACATAGGCATCCTCAGGAATATTAACCTTCATCAGGCGATGAAAGGAGACAGAGACAGAGACCCACACGGGAGCACCGGACAGAAATCTCAAGGTCCAAATCAGGAGCAGAAGGAGACGGAGCACGAGCAAGGAACTCAGGACCACGAGGGGTGCACCCACACACTAAGACAATGGGGATGTTCTATTGGGATCTCACCAAGGCCAGCTGGCCTAGGTCTGAAAAAGCATGGGATAAATCCGGACTAGCTGAACATAGCGGACAATGAGGAATACTGAGAATTCAAGAACAATTGCAGTGGGTTTTTGATCCTACTGCACGTACTGGCTTTGTGGGAGCCTAGGCAGTTTGAATGCTCACCTTACGAGACCTGGATAGAGGTGGGCAGTCCTTGGGCTTCCCACAGGTCAGGGAACCCTGATTGCTCTTCGAGCAGATGAGGGGGGGGGGGGGGGACTTGATCGGGGGAGGGGGAGGGAAATGGGAAGCGGTTGTGGGGACGAGGCAGAAATCCTAAATAAATAAATAAATTAAAAAAAAAAAGAAATAGTTTGTCATCATTTCAGAAGGCTAAGAAGGTACTTCAGGGAGTATTTAAGTGAGAAACAATTCCATTTGGATGTTTTAAAACTTCATTATACTTAATTGATTGGGAGGGTTGGTGGCAGGCCAGAGAACTGGCTGGTGAGCGGGTGGGACTTAAAAGGAATATATGAATTTCGTGTCAAACACTCCTTCAACAGACCAAAGTTTGCTTGTGATAGTTTATTGTAGTGCCACAGAGCTAAGTTTTGGCACCTTCTGCTCTACATTTGAATCCCAGTTTTCCACTCATTAAGCCTCTGAGTTTAGACATATCACTTCATATTTGCATCTTGGTTTTCCTCACCTGGGAAGGAGCAGTGTCTTCTTAGTAATGCTATCTTCCATGAAATGACAGTAGGCACTGAATGATGTTTGTAATCAAATCCCAGCCATTTAGATATGATGATGTATGTAAATACCATTTTGCCAAATAAATGGAAAACGCCTGTATGAAACCTTGTGTATAATTTTCAACTTGGCATGGAAACCCTTTTTTCTTTATATCTTTCTTTCCTCCTTTTTTTCCAACTTAAGGAATTAATATTGTGTGATGAATTGTCAATTTGTTAATAAGTAAAATCTTTCTTCCCCCTCTCTCTTTCTGTGTTTGTGTGTGTGTGTGTGTGTGTGTGTGTGTGTATGTTTATGGCTGGAAGGTAATGCTACCCTTTTTCCTTAAGTTAAACAGTTTTTTGTTTGGTTGTTTGAGAAATGGCACCAACAAAATTAGGCTCACATGGCCTCCAGCTCTAGTGGGAGCAGAGACACCCAGAGCACCACCATATTCTTTGAGGTAAGTTCTTTCACTGGCCAGGCACCTGCTCATTAGGTAGAGACTGGCTGGTGAGTAAACACCAGAGATCCTCCTGCCTCTGCCTCCCCCGTGCTGAGGATTGAATTTAGGTCCTAACGCCTATGTGGCAAGTGTTTTCCAGACTACGCCATCTCCCCAAACCCACACAAGTTTCAACTAAAGAAATTTCACTGTAGGATGTGGAGCAGGCTGACATGAATTCCAACTTTCTTCTATGAAATTGTGTTTTCTAGGAGAATGCGTGGAAGGGCTGAGGGAGAATGACTACCTGCTGATCCATTCCTGCAGGCAGTGGACCACCATAACTGCTCATAGCCTGGAGGAAGGTCACTATGTCATCGGGCCAAAGATAGAGATCCCCGTACATTATGCAGGTAAGACTGGGCAAGATGTGCAGAGAGAAGAGGAAGAGTTGATTTTCTTAGGTCTTTGTAGCAGGAAATAGGAATATTTCTTATTATATTTCCTATATTTTTTCTAGCCTACCAACACTTCTTGTGGTTATTATTATTATTATTTTAATAAATGATAGTTCCATTTTGTCACAGATATTTGTAGGTAATGGAGCTGAGTGTTTATAAGGTGAAAATTTTACACGAAGAACTCTGTTGTCCTGGAATCGGAGCACTATGTGAAGCCAATCCAGGAGCTCCCCATTTGTGTGCATCTGAGTAATCCAAGTACAACCTGAGCAAAGCTTTTGTGAAAGACTGGGATGGAGCAACTCCACTAGGTGCCATTTCACAAATGAGCATAGTAGTCTGGCTTTAAAAGTTTCTGTTTAGAAGGTCACATACTTGGGCATGCCACTTCTCTCAAGTAGTCTGTTAACACTGGCATGACCTCATTGCTCTACTTAAATGTGGACAATGCCCACCTTGTCAGCTTGTCACCTTACTGGAATCTCCATTTGGCTCAGGGATGTCATTGCTCTTGGTTTTGATGAGTAAATTCTGTAGCGAGAATTGAACTTGTATAAATAAATAAACTTTGCTTAATAAAATTTTAGTAGGGATAGCCTATAAATCAGTTTTTAAAAAACAAACATATTACTATTTGCTGTCTCCTGGGTTTTAAAGTTCATCAAATAAGCTTATTAACTTACCTGTTTTTTCCACTTTTTAAAATGTTATTGCAGGATGTTTTAACCATCTAACTATAAATTGTGTAAATCTAAACTGCTGTTCTGGCTTTGACAGACTTGTCTACAATGTTAGGCAAGTTACTTATATGAAAACAGATTGTTGCCATATTCTAGAATAGTAGCAAATGGTATTTGTTCAAACAGTGCTTAATGAATGAATAAATGCTTTGGTAGCTTTTGGATTCTTAGGAGTCTTCAGTTGTTCACTAAACTTTAAAAAAAACTTTTCAAATATATTATAGGAAAGAGAATTTTTGTGGCCTAAAACTTAGTCCTTTAGAATTATGTGTGGGTGGATTTTTCCATCAGGACCTCTGGCCAGCTCCCAAATAACCACACAGAGACTTAATATTAATTATAAATGTTCAGCCAATAACTTAGACTTGTTACTAGCTAATTCTTACAACTTTAATTGATTCATATTTCTTATTTATGCTCTACCATGTGGCAGCAGCTTTTCAACATGGCACGTTCATCTTGCTTCTCTCAACATCTCCTTGTGACTTTGCCTTCTTCCTCACCACACTCTGTTTTTGTCTCCTAGTCCCACCTAAACTTTTCCTGCCTTCCTGTTGGCCATTCATCCCTTTATCAGACCATTGAGAGCAACAGATATTCACAGTGTGCAAAAAGATTGTTCCACGGCAGCTATACTGCTTAGTTATGAGTAGGCTTTACCGGCAAAGTAAGTAGGTGGCGCCTGCAAAAGGTGCTGTGTTTGTGAGATTAGCAGCCAGGCAGCTGGGCAGAGTTTGTAGGAGCAGGGAATTTGGCAAGCCCTTGGGTTGCCCACGTTCGCCTCTAAGGGGTTCCACCCAAACAAGGTCCACTTTATTTTCAGCAAGCTCAACTCTAGTTTCTCTCTTTATAGAAAACTAGAAAGTAAATTGCTGTCGTGTTTGTTTTTACCTGGACAGTGTTCTATCAGTCAACTTGCCTTTTAGAAGTTTCTATAAAACATGGTGATTGACTCTGTCAAATCAGTCTTCTATAAAACACGGTGATTGACTCTGTCAAATCAGTCTTCCCAGTAGACTGCTTATCTCCATGGAGATTCCCTCCTGCCTCGTCTGAGAGTTCTGGCCTGTTTTCCCAATATTTCTACTCTAAAGAGTGGACATTCTACTAGCTGGGTCAGTCACCTCTCTGTTGGCTACACTGGGCACTTTCCCATCGCCCCAGTCACCCTGCCGGAGGCAGCTCCTTCAGACAGGCAGCTTCTCTGGTAGGGAGGACCTTCCTCTGTCTCAGATCGCCTCTACTGCATGCTATATTCATTTGCCACAGGTCACGACTCTTCATTCAGTTGCTACTTCCTGTGCTCACATATACCTCCCTCCGCTCACCACTGGACTGTACATTCCTTAACCAATAAGACAGATGTCAAAAATTCCTTGGGCATTTTTTTCTGCCAGTCTATGGTTGATTCACTTCTTCGTGGAAATGGGTGTTCAGTCCAGGGATTATAATCTTGGCTACACAGTGGAATCAAGGAGAAGGTTCTGGAAAGAGTGGTTGCTGAGTCCTACCTGTAGAGAGTCTAGTTCGGTTGTTTGCAATGGTTGCATAGGTCTAAATGGTTGTATAAGATGAGCATCAGGTTTGTCAAGGCTTTTCCATGGTTAAAAATACAATTAAAGTTGGGGAACAGCATCCAGTATCAAATGATAAGATCCCCCACAAAACCAACAACAGACACAAGTATTTTGAGCTTATGCTTTTATGTTGATAGCCATCCATCTTTCAGTGGGAAGAAAGGAATAGCATGTTCAGACACTAACTCTGGATGAGAAATGAGGACACAGGTGACAGACGGTGCCTGTAATGCCACATGTCGCAAAGATGCGGATTATCATTAATGAAATAGAACTGCCGATTCTGTGCTGAATTGAGAAGTCGGGACTGACGTCACACCATTTTACATTAATGAATAGGAAATAAATTAAAGGAGAGAAACCTGAAATGATGCCAAGTGCTTTATGAGGTCATTTGCCATTGGGCAAGGACAGGTGGCTGGTGATGGCAGTCCCAGATTTCTGAGTTGTTTCTCTTGGATTTCTTCTGCAGGAAGCTTGAGTAGAAGTTTGGAGGTCCAGATAGATATTATTGACCTTTTGTTTGGGGTTCCACATCTTTTGACACATGAAGGCATTTGCATTTCAGAGTTTACAGTCAAAAAACTGGCTGGCTCTCTTGCCTCTTGGTAGAATATTTGCTTCCTGTGTGTTTAGCCCTGGCATTAATCCTGTGTGCACAACCCTGACCCTGACCTCCAGCACTACAAAGAAAAATGTTCACAAAGACAGATGTTAGTGATTTTTCAAGTTTTTATTTCCTTCCATCTTCTATGCTAATAGATAAACAAGAAGGCAGGTTTTTTGGTTATATTTTAAATAGATTTATTAATTTTGGTTCAATCACTTCACTGGTTTGGGTGGCATATTTATAAACCGTGTTCTTAGTTTTTCAGGCAAAGTTTCACTGTTTCCCAGGCTTATCTCAAACTCCTGGACCCAAGCCATCCTTCTCCTGCCTCAGCCTACCCAAGTGTCTGGGGTAGCACCCTGCTCATCTTAGAGTGGCATCCAGTTTGTTTCCAAGAAGAGATTTATTCAAGAGTTCAGCCTTGGAAGAGAGAGCATTCAAGTGCAGAGTGGGAACAAAAGCTGTCACTTCATGTTCTCGCTCATTTGAGCCCCGGCTGTAATTAGTACAGAATCCACTTACCCAGGCGTGTGTTACTATTGTATTATTAGCTTCAGGATCTCATCTAAGTTGGGATTCATCTTTGATTCCTGGAGAAGGCTTACTAAGTAGTTGGCAAACACCTTACTTAGCCGCGGTAGCACAGCCCACCAGCCTCGTGATGGCTTCCTTTGATTTCTGCCTCTTGCTCACTCTCTGTACGGCTTGGACAAATCCCAGCTTCTTCACGTGCCAGTGGGATAGAGTACCTTTCCTCCCAAGAAGCCTGGAGCTCATGCAAATGGAACACCTTTCAGACCACTTAGCACCTTCTGAGCAGACGTTAACCATGCTGATCACCACAGTGAGCCCAACAAAATGCCTGAGTTCCTTGCTCCTAGTTTGGATTAATCAAAAGGCAAATTGCTTGCTTTTCTCTTCACTGAAGCAAAATGAACATCAACACCCCTTAGCATTGTTCTGGCAACTGTGCATAGTTTGGGTCTCTCTCTCTCTCTCTCTCTCTCTCTCTCTCTCTCTCTCTCTCTGTTGTGTCTGTGTTGTCTATTTCATTTTGCCTTTTAATAGTTTTGAGAACTTCATAGGTGAGCCCTGTATATATGCATCACTCCTGCCCTTCCTCTCCCTCCAGTTCCTCCTATGCCACCTCCCAAATTCATGTTCCCATTTTTATTATTGTTATGTGTACAGACGTATGAATATCTGTGTGCATCTGTGTGCACCTTTGAGTGTTCAGCCTACTGAGTCCATTTACTTTGCTCATATGTACATATGTGTAGAATTGGCCTCTTGAGACTGGGCGACCTGTGTGGGAGCTTGGTCCTGGACTAGATTCTCCATCTCTCGGCAGCTATTGGCCACCTGTAGCTCTCCATCTAGGGCTGAGGCCATGTGGAATTTGCCCCCTCCACACTGGCATGATAGCCGGTATTGTCATTATTGCTGGTCGGATTCGGGCTGTCATATTTTGGGAGTTCCTGAATGCAACTTCTGAACTTTTTGTCTTGAAGCCTTATCCTTATATTGTTACTCAGTGTGGTCCATTTTGATCTCATGTTCTCACTTATTTTTATCATTCTTCCCCTGCACAAATGTGTATTCAGACCCACAGATGTGTATCTTTTTGAATATTTGGGAGTAGACAGCACACGTGCCCTGATGCTTCACTGTGCGTGTCTAATACAACTGCCATACAGTTGGCAGATTCGGGATGCTCCAGTGGTGCAATCGGTTAGCGCGCGGTACTTATACAGTTGGCAGATTCGGGTCACTCAATGCTTTCCTCTGCAGCCCCTATTCCAGTGCTGCCGCTAGTGTCCTTTGTCGCCTTTTCCTGTCGAGGATGGCACCAGTTCACCTAGTGCATTCCATCATCAAGTCTCTTCGGCTTGCTTTCATCTGGGACTGCCCCTTGGCTGTCTTTGTGCTGTGTGGTGTGGACATGTTCGAAGAGTACAGACTTTTGCCTCGTGATCATTTTCCACCTGTGCACTCTGTGCAGGGTTCTATGTATGTGACCGTGTC